AGAATGGATTACTGACTGAAGGATCCAATTATGTAAACCTTAATAATCATATAAGCAGCTCCAGTGATTAGCTCTAGCATTGACATTTTTTTCATCTACATCTTATCTTTAGCCCCCTTTACATTCTTAAAAAAACACCAAAAAAAATAACACTTGTAAACTTATTTCCCACATCAGAGCCCATCAAGAATCACACAGTTCTCAACTGTATAGTTGGAACTCCCGTGATCTGATGTGTGAGGATGACCCAGCCTCACATTGCTAAGTTTTCTGTTATTATAGCTACTGTGCTGGGACAGGAGTTGCTAATTCATATATTTATGAGAAAGTCCTAAGTGGCTCAAAGGAATCTTTTCAAATTAAAAAGTGTTTTGTAAAAGCCCACAGTAGAAAAATAGATGTTTTATAATTTTTGAGTTGAACTAACAATGTTGTACCTGAGGTTTTATGTGTGTTCTCAAATACTGGTTAGTGGCCACCATAGGAAAATACAATCAGCAAATTCATGCACCATGCCCAGAGGCCTCACTGTAATTCTCACGAGGCTCTAAATCCTACACATAGGGTTTTCCAAGTGATGAGGCCTGTCTAGAAATGCATTAACTTCTCTTTCTTAAATAGAGCCAAGAAGAATTTACCCAAGTCCCATCTATAGTAAAATGAGGTTTATGAGGTTTTAATAAACTTTTAGTTCTAAAAGCAAATGCTAATTTGTTTACTTAATGCTTTACTCTTAGATTCCATTTTGTTCCCTGGAATGAAACATATGACTTGTGAAATTCAAACATTCTCCTATTTACAAGGACAATTTCATTTATTAATGGCCTATAATTAAGAACAAATTGTTAGCTAAACAAACAATTAGCTTGTCTGAAGAATAAATAGGAAGTAGGTTATTCATTCATTTGCTAAGTGTTCTTAGCCTTGACCTACTTTTCACTTATTCAGATTGCTTTCTCAATTTTCTAGAGCTTTTGTAACTAACGTAATTTTCCTAATTAAATAATGAAAGCTAACATTTATGTATTTTCTTTAGGAGAAAGAACAGGCTAATGTACACATAAAATGTTATAACATAAGTCAAAATTTTACTTCCAATTCTACCCCATGACCCTAAGGAAGGTATTTAGCCTCTTCACCTGGAAGTTTTCCATTTCTGTAAAATGAGGATGTTATAGTTGCCATCTACCTAAAGCATCATAACTCAAGGGACTTGCTACAATTTCTTTAAAGAAGAGATGCTGTAGCATGGCTCAGTGGTTGAGCATGGACCTATGAACCAGGAGGTCATGGTTCATTCCCGGTTAGGGCACAAGCCCAGGTTGTAGGCTCGATCCCCAGTGTGGGGCATGTAGGAGGCAGCCAATCAATGATTCTCTCTCATCATTGATGTTTCTATCTCTCTCCCTCTCCCTTCCTCTCTGAGATCAATAAAAATATATTTTCAAAAAAAGAAAAGGTGCTGTATATTTATGCAATTCTTCCCCAAAATATGGAACATTGGGAAATATTTTGGATTTCTATAAAAACCTTACAATGATTTTTTTGAAAGATGATTAGATCTCCCCCCCCCCCCACAAGAGCTTAGATTTATTTTGAAACTTAAAAAAGTATAAGATAGATAAGTCTACATATTTCTACATTTTATATCTTGGATTTTTTAAAAAATTATCTTTATTGTTGAAAGAATTACAGATGTCCCCCCCTTTTTTTGTACCCCCATTGACCTCCTCTACCTTTCTCCCACCCCACCCCAGGCCTTCACCACACTATTGTCTGTGTCCATGGGTATGCATATTTACTTATATAAAAACCCTGGGTGTAACATCACGTCCCAAAGCTCAACCAACTGGAAGGAAGTCAGTCCTGCAGGGGTCGTCTTGGAAACGACTGCGCCCTACCCCAGCTGTTTACCGGAGGGCAAGGTTTCAGGCAGGAACCCACCCTCGGAGCAGAGCATGGAAGTACTGAGTCCTGGGTTGCCTTGCCAAGGACTGCACCCTCCCTGAGCTGTTTCCCACGAGGCCTGAGGGAAGAACCCACCCTCAGAACGCCAGGAGCGACCAGCAGCAGTCAGTCCTGGATTGCTGAGGCAGAGGCCACAGCGTGGTAGAACTCTGGGTCTGGCCCAACAGGGGGCGTGGCCAGCCTTCAAACCAGACCCTGACAGTAGGGAGGAGGCAGCCCCATTCCTCACAGAATCTGCTGTTGGATAGCTTGCTGTCAGTGGCCTGTCAGCCAGGAACCCCATTCACCTGTACCCCGGATCCGGACAGGAGGGAGGAGGGAGCACCATTTCTCACAGAATGGGCAGGTGGCCAGCTTGCTGTCAGGGGCCTGCCAGCTAGGAATTCTATTCACCTGCATATCTGTATAATGTTTTAACACATTATATTAGAGGCTGTGGTGGTACTGTTTTACCCACAGCATCTACAGGAATTGCTGCAAATTTACTTCTCAGTGGAAGCACCTTTCATTCCCAATATAAATTACCGATTCCATTAAATGAAACTTCAATTTCTAGACTCAATATAAAGAGTGAAGTTGCTAAAACTATTAAAAAGGCCCAACTTCTCATTATTGATGAATGCACCATGGCATCCAGTCATGCTATAAATGCCATAGACAGATTACTAAGAGAAATTATGAGTCTGAATGTTGTATTTGGTGGGAAAGTTCTCCTTCTTGGAGGGGATTTTCAACAATGTCTCAGTATTGTACCACATGCTATGGGATTGGCCATAGTACAAACGAGTTTAAAATACTACAATGTTTGGGGATGTTTCAGAAAGTTGTCTCTTAAAACAAATATGAGATCAGAGAACTCTGCTTATAGTGGATGGTTAGTAAAACTTGGAGATGGCAAACTTGATAGCAGTTTTGGATCTATTATTGAAGCTACCTTTGGAAATACTATATCTAGATAATATTAAAAATATATCTAAACGTGAATTCTTTGTCCAAAAAATGAGCATGTTCAAAAATTAAATGAAGAAATTTTGGATATACTCGATGGAGATTTTCACACATATTTAAGTGATGATTCCATTGATTCCACAGATGATGCTGAAAAGGAAAATTTTCCCATCGAATTTCTTAATAGTATTACTCCTTTGGGAATGCCGTGTCATAAATTAAAATTGAAAGTAGGTGCAATCATCATGCTATTGAGTATGGGGTCTTTGTAATGGTACCAGACTTATTATCAAAAGATTACGACCTAACATTATCGAAACTGAAGTATTAACAGGATCTGCAGAGGGAGAGGTTGTTCTGATTTCAAGAATTAATTTGTCCCCATCTGACACTGGCCTCCCATTTAAATTGATTCGATGACGGTTTCCCATGATGCTAGCATTTGTGATGACTATTAATAAATCACAAGGACAAACTCTAGAAAGATTAGGCATATTCCTACCTGAACCCATTTTCACACATGGTCAGTTATATGTTGCTTTCTCTAGAGTTTTAAGAGCATGTGTCGTTACAGTTAAAGTTCTAAATACTTCAGCACCAGGGAAATTAGTCAAGCACTCTGAAAGTGTTTTCACTCTTAATGTGGTGTACAGGGAGATATCAGAATAAGCTAATCACTTTATCAGTCATTGTTTGCATCACTGTTGTTTTTATATCATGTTTTTGTTTTCATATCATGTTTTTGTCGTTTTTATATCATGCCTCTGTTGTTGTTATATCCTTTTGTTACTATTTATTTATTAATAAATTTATATATTATTTTCATATACATTTTACTAATTTCCTTTCATCTCTCACACTTCTATTATAGAGAAAGGGCAAATAGCAATATTAAAATATCTCTGCTAATTAATTCCCTTTTAATGTGCACGAATTTCGTGCACCGGGCTACTAGTATGCATATAAGTTCCTTGGTTAATGTCCCCGCCCCTCTCCCCTTATAGAATCTGCCAAAATGAAACCTTTAGCACATAAAGGCAACTTCATCTGAATTAAGTAGCATGTGGTTACTTACAAGTGATTGGCTTTTTATTTTTTGCTAGTTACATTTTGCTTTTATGAACACAAAAAATATATATATTCAGGCTGCAACATCATGGTACTGAGCACTTGGGCTGTGGGAAACGAGTTAAGTCGGCTCGCGTGAATTGTGCGTACTCCGCGGGAGCCGTCTTAAACTCGGTTCATATAGATTTGCGGTGTAGTGCGGGAAACGTGTAAACTCGGGCCGATTGTAACTGCGTATTACCAAATATTTCATTTCAATCGAACCCATACTTCAAAAGATATAGGCATTTTAACGCGCCATCTTATATTTTGGCGGGAAATTCACCCGCAACCCAAGTGTGAGCACACTTGAGTGGACTGTCAGTGCAAACCATGCCTTAGGCTGAGAAGACACAGATTTAGTAGAACCAAGTTAAATGTTCCTCAGGTGGAATATGAGCAGAAGAAAGTCATTCATATAAAACAATATAAATGTGAGCAATATCACAAGTAAGATAATAACTGAATAGGTGATCATCCCAGAAACCAGGAGTGGAAGTGAGACAGACAGCAAGACAGAAGGATAGACAGGAGTCAATACTGAAACGTAAATCAAATGGGAATTGACAATGTATAATGTTATAAAAATACCAATTCCATGGTCTAAAGAAGTATTGTTAGAGGGGAAAATGATCAGCAGCTAAAATAGAACCTTGCTCTAACACATATCAACTCATAAGAATTTACTGAATCCAGTTTTCATGCTATGTATTTGTATATCATGAGCCTTCATCTGAAAAATGGAAATATCTATACCTGCCTATTTGGCCATATTGGTTGCATAAAAATTTCTCTCTGAATGACTACCACAATCACCTCAAGCATGATTTAAATTACATATATATGTATATGCGTATACATGTACATCTACATCCCCCAACATCCATCTGTCCATCCATCCATCCATCCATCCACCCATCATCCATCCTTCCATCCATTTCAATGAGCAAAAAAGGGAAATGCTTCTATCTGCATACCTTCAGGTTCCCTGATTTTTCTTCCCGCTGCAGACTTCCGAAGGACGCTCCTCCCGGAGTTAAAGAGGCTGGTTAGCTCGTCCAGGGGGCTGCTGAGGGGCCTGGAGTTCGGGGAGCTGTAGGGGACTGGAGAGGAGGCGTTGGAGTTGGCCTTCCGATGGTCCACTCTAGCTGCTGCCTTGCCGGGGGAATGCGGAGCCTTGGAGAAAGAGCTGCAGGGACCCGCTGCGGGAGCAGAGTTTGGCTTTTGCTGCACTTTGGGCAGATCCGGGTTTGTGGCTGCCTTCCCCGTGGGCACCACGCTGGCCTCGGGTGGGAAGGTGAAGTGGCGGTGGGCAGCAGCCGGCGCAGGGGGAGGAGGCGGCGGCGTGGGAGGCGGAGAGACTTTGTGGGACCCGTTGAACACAGGGAGGCCGGGGGACGGGGGCCTGTCACCACCCCCGTTTTGGCTCTTGGAATACTGTGGCGACAGAGGACTGGAGCCTTCCGACTGCACAGGGTACTTGAGGTTGGTTTCCAGGACGGGCAGCTTTTTCACCTCCAGGGGCGTCAAAGGTGATTCATCCGACGCTGGGGAGCAGGTGACAGGGGTTGGGGGGAACACCAGGAGCGGGGGCCGGTGAGGCAGCAGGTTGGGGAAGGGGGCGGGGATGTCGCAAGTGTCTTTGCAGGGACCTGGTGTCTGGCAGCCAGTGTCTCTCTCCTCCAAGGTGAAGGGGCTGGGGCGCTCACACAGTAACGGGAGTGACACGGCCGCCCAGGCGCCCCCCACCTGAGCGCCCCCGTCCTCTGGGGGCGCCAAGTACTTCATCTCCTCGTACACCGCTTCCCCCTGGTCGGGGCTGCCCGCGTGGCCCACCATCTCGATGTAGACGGGCTCCAACTCAGGCTCTGTCTCAGCCTCAGAGTGCGCAGGGGGCGCAGGGGGCGCGGGGACCCCCAGCATGGCCCCCAGGGCGCACTGTGGGCCCCCTGCTCTGTGCCGCAGGCCCGGGACCCCCACCGCCCCGGGCCCGGCGCCTGAGATCTCCTCCGAGGAGCCGCTGAGCTTGGTGTGGGGACTTCGCTTTGGCTTCCGAGGAGGAATCTTCTTCATGGTGCTGTAGTCATCACTGTGCGGTCTGGGCCGGGTGAGCACTGGAGGCAGATGAGCAAAGGATGGGAGGTGTTAGCACGACTGCAGGGTCAAGCCGGCACAGCACTGGGGCTGGCGGGGCTGCCCTTGCCGACTGGGCTCCTGCAAGTCCCCAAGGTTGGAGACAAAGGCCTGCATCCCCCACTCTGTCCCCCTCTTCCTCCCCCCCACCCCTCCGTGATCCTAGCTCAGCCAACACTTCTCAAGACTGCCAATAGAAAGGGAGTTTTGATCCCAGAGCTGGAGGATAACTTCCATCATGAAGGAAGACGTTAGGTGGACCATAAGGGGTCCAGGGATTATCAGCCACCTGCAAGCCCGAAGTGCCCAGGGATACAGCCACGCCGCAGGGGAACACACTTCAAGCAGCTGCTGGAACCTACCTACACCTGTATTTTTAGGGTCTCATAAAGGTGTGACATGAGAACAGGCTGAACTGGTCCCCGGGGCTTTAGAGATGAGAAAATGGAAAGCTAGGGAGAACAAGCAAATTAGCTAGTCGGTGGCAAATGGAAGCTTCATGTAGGAAATGAGTAAGCTTGATTATTTAAATGGTATGAAATGAACAAAACAAAACGCCTACATGCATAAAGAGATTATTATTTTGCTAAAGAACTTTGTTATTAAAATGATGCCAAGGGTGAATTTTACAAAAAATCAGCATATTTGAATCTTTAACAGAAGCACATATTTAACAGGAAAATTAAGACTAAGAACTTCTAGCCCTGGCCAGGTAGCTCAGTTGGTTAGAGCAGTCATCACCGATACAACAAGGTTTCAGGCTGATCCTTGGTCAGGGCACATATAAGAATCAACCAATGAAAGGAAAAACAAATTGATGTTTCTCTCTCTCTCTCCCTTCCTCTCTTTTTTTCTCAAATCAATTATATGTAATTAATTATATATAAAACTATAAACTTCTAAAGTGGAAATTTCTGAAGTTGAAAAAAGGGAAATATTTAGAAAAACAAATCAGCATAATATTAGTAACAACTAATTTTAAAAGAGGCAGAAAAACTATTTAGATAGGATTTTAAAACATTTATTGAAATAGAAGTTTAAAAAATTCCAAGATTTATTTTCTAATATAGTTTATTATAAATTATAATACATATTTACTAAATAAACAATATTTCTCTGAAAACAGATGTTAATTTCAGGAAATTACATTAAGCTTTACTGAAATATCAAAACTGAAAAATCTTAAACTACGTTACTAATTTGGCATTTTACTGTGAGAATTATTGATAGAAACATATCTAACTTGTCTTAGTTCCTGAGTTATTTAAGGCATGCAGATTTTACTCTCACCATGACAGCACATATGACATCAGTAAATGTCCCCAGGTTGGAGGAGATAATAAAGTAAAATGGCTGAGATTAAAGGCTTTTCTATGGCTGAGTAGTATTCCATTGTGTAAACGGACCACAGCTGTTTTATCCTCTCACCTACTGATGGGCACTTCAGCTGCTTTAAAATCTTGGCTACTGTAAATAACACTGCAATGAACATAAGGTGCATATATTCTTTCAAATTAGTGTTTAAGCTTTCTTTGGATATATTCCCAGAAGTGGAATCGCTGGGTGATAAGGCAGTTCCATTTTTAATTTCTTGAGTTAACCACATACTACTTTCCACAGTGGCTGCACCAATCTGCATTCACACAACAATGCACGAGAGTTCTCTTTTCTCCAAATCCTCACCAATGCTTCTTGGTTGTTGATTTACTGATAAGAGCCATTCTGACAGATATGGGGTGATATCTCATTGTGGTTTTAATTTTCATTTCTTTGATGAACATCTTTTCATGTCTATTGGCCATCTGTATGTCCTTTTTGGAGAAGTGTTCAGGTTTTTTGCCCATTTTTAAATTTGATTTTTTTTGTGTTGACTTTTATAAGATTTTAGTAAATTTTGAGTATTAACCCCTGGGGAAAGCAGAATAGAGTTACCTCAAAAAATTAAAAATGAAACTGCCTTATGATCCAGCGCTTCCACTTCTGGGAATTTATTCAAAGAAACCAGAAACACTAATTCAAAAGAACATATGTACCTCTAAGTTCATTGAAGTGTTATTTACAATAGCCAAGATTTGGAAGCAGCCCAAGTGTCCATCAGTAGATGAATGGATAAAAAAAGCTGTGATACATTTACAAAAAAAATACGACTTGGCCATAAAAATGAGGAGAATCTTCTTTTTGCAACAGCATGGATGGAGAGCCTGAAAGGTATTATGCTAAGTGACAGAAGCCAGCCAGAGAAAGACAAGTACCATATGATTTCACCTATATGTGGAATCTAATGAACAAAATAAACTAACAAACAAAATAGAAACAGACTCAGAGAATCAGATAATAAATAGACTGATAGCTGTCAGATGGGAGGGAAGTTTGGGGCCTGAGTGGAAAAGGTGAAGGGATTAAGCAAAAATCAACAATAACAACCAAGAACAACAACCTAATAGACACAGAGAACAGTATGGTGATTACCAGTGGGAAAGGGAGTTGTGGGAAGGTAGAGGAGGGTAAATGAGGATAAATAGTGATGAAAGAACACTTGACTTGGGGTGGTGGACACAAAATACAATATTCAGATGATGTGTTATAGAATTAGACACCTTAAACCTATACAATTTTATTATCCAATGTCACCCTAATAAATTCAATTTTAAAAAAAGTTTTAAAAAGGCAAAATTCCATAATTAAAAAAAATATGTTTAAAGGTTTCCAAGTCAAATCTGGATTCAAATCTCAGCAGGACCATTCATTCATGCAGTCATTTGTTGAGTCATACATTTGACTAGTATTTCCTGAAACACATTAGTGAGTACAGAGAAAATTTTCCCTACCTTCCGCTGTCCTAGTGGAAGGTGTCAGACAATAAAAAAATAAGTTAAACAAATGAATTAATTCTTGATCATGTTAGAACATGACATATGCCATAAAAGTGAAAAACAATAGGCCATGAAAGGGTTCACAGAATTGTGTGTGTGTAGTGGGGGGAGGGTGGCAATGGTGCAAATGATAATATTAAAAGAGGTTTTAGGCAAAGCTCTCTAAGCTTCAGTATAGTCATGCATAAAATGATCAGTAATTATCTCAGAGGCATAAAATAGATATTGTATGTAAAGTGTTTGCTCACATTTTGGCGCACTGGAAACATGAAACAAATGGGAGACATCCAAATGAGAATGGAAAAGAACAAAGCTAATTTTCTAACTCAATGGACATCTTTGTGAGCCAGTATTCTACACAGTTCCCAAAAGCAGCCAACTTTTAAGAGCAGAGCATGCCCAAAATGCACAATTCTGTAATTAATAAGCATTATTCTAAAGGCTTTCACCATACTAAAACATAAGCTTCTCCTAGAAAGTTAATGACCCACACAAAATTTTAACATTGCTATTACAGAGTTGTTCTGAAGATTTAAATAATTTAAAGGATTGGTGGCAGGTTGTCTTTTCCAAAACTGGCTTCAACAATATTTCCAGTCCCACATGCTCTTCAGAACCCTGAACCTGGGAGGGCCTCTGTGACTGGCCCTGACAAATAAAATATGGGGAAGGGGCTGCTGCCTGCTTTCTGTGGCTGGATCCCAGGTAGTATGGTTCTGCTTGGCTCTTGCTGTCTGGAACACATATCTTGATGGCCCTGATCTCTATGTGAGGAGACTGCTTACTCTGAAGCACCCATGCTCTAGAGAACAGGTAGAAAGACCACACAGAGGTGAGAGTGATGAGGAAGACTCCATTTGCTTCAGCTCTCAGCTATCTGTGTTTCTCCAGCCCAGACACCAAAAATCTAATAACCGAGTCTTTGGATGATTCCAGCCCCTGACTCTCACTACTGCTGTGAGAGAGCCTGTGTAATCACTGGTTAGCTGAGCCCAGACAAGTACTAGGACTGTAAGAGAGAAAAAAGGATACAATGGTCATTTTAAGCCACTGAATTCTGGGGTGCTTTGTTACACAGCAGTAGACAACTAATACAGATATTGGTACCTGGAAGTGGGAGTGCTACTATAAATAAAACTTTAAAAGGGTGGCAGTAGCTTTGGGAAATTGGAGGAGTCTTGAAGGCAAAGTTAGCAGAAGCCTGTTGATCTTCACAGAAGCTCTTGGTGAGGCTTAAAAGGAGGTGAGGAAGATGCCAGAAGCTGGAGGAAACATGAGCCTTCCGGGGCCATTGTGGAAAGTTTAGCAACACTGTCCCCTGCAGTGATGTGGGAAGTGAAACACGCACTTAGGGAACTGAATGATGTAGCTAAGGAGGTTTTCAGGTAGAGTGCAAAATCTGCCTCCTGGATTCTTCTAGCTGCCTATGGTAAAATGTGAGAGTAAAGAGACAAGCCAAAGAAAGACCCACTAACTGTAAAGGATCCTGGACTTCCTATGTTTGAAAATAAAGGTTTCTCACTGCCAGGCTGTCCTGATGGCAAATAATTCTCAAGTGAAGAAATGACTTTCAAGCAGAGATGAAATCTGAGGCATTTTCAGGAAAACGTGATCTAAAGATGGAGCCAAGATCATGGCTATGAAACCCTTTATTGAGACATCAGGAAGATTTAAGGTGATGCTTCGTGGATCTGTTCAAAGGAGCAAAACCACAGGACTTCTAAGAATCGTAAGTGGATTGCAGCACAGAAGTCTTGCAGAGAGCCCAAAGTAAAGAAGATAATTATCTCAGAGACTTGTGGATGTGGCTTTTGAATAATGCAGTAGATTGTAAATTCACAGGAAACTCACAAAGCTTTTAAAGGAATTGGATCATCTTGCACTGAAAGGAGAAGACTTAATACAGAATGAGGAAGCTCTGGTGCCTCAACATTTTATAAGCAGAAAGCAGGCTGAGAAAGCTACCAGCCCTAAACATGTCACATCTTGTGGATTAGGAATTACAATTTACAGGTGAGCCAGGAGTCCAAAGCATGTACCTAAGACCCATGGAAAATCATTTCTAGGAACTAGGACAACATCCTAATCAGGGCACAGGCAGTGTGTGC